TCGAAGATGGGCAAAATCGGCCCACTGCCACGCCCACAAGATGGCGGAAACCGAAAACCTATAAAGTGTCATGACTAAGTTATAAATAAAGATATTAAAATGAAATTTGGCACAAAGGATCGCATTAGGGAGGGGCATATTAGGACGTAATTTTTTTGGAAAAGTGGGAGTGGCCCCGCCCCCTACTTACTTTTTTGTACATATCTCTAAAACTACTATAGCTATGTCAACCAAACTGTATAGAGTCGTTTCTTTTATACATTTCCATATACAGTTCAAAAATGGAAGAAATCGGGTAATAACCACGCCCACCTCCCATATAAAGGTTATGTTGAAAATCACTAAAAGTGCGTTAACCGACTAACAAAAGTCGTCAGAAACACTAAATTTTACGGAAGAAATGTCAGAAAGAAGCTGCACGTAGGCTTTTTTTAAAAATTGAAAATGGGTGTGGCGTCGCCCACTTATGGACCAAAAACCATATCTCAGAAAGTACTCCCCCGATTTCAATGAAATTCGGTATATAATATTTTCTTAACACCCTGATGACATGTACCAAATAAGGGTGAAATCGGTTCACAACCACGCCTGAAATCTCGATTATCACTTTATCATGCGAGAGTATAAAATGTTCGGTGACACCCGAACTTAAGCCTTCCTTACTGGTTTTAACTTCATTGCTTACACATACAGCCATATAAACACTTGGCTGCCATACATGCGAAAAGACATACATATATACATACATCTATAAAAGGTAAGTTTGGCGCGGAAATTATACTTAGTGCAATTGCACCTGCCAAGCCTGGATATTTTTGCGCGATATCTCGTCAAAAGTATGTATAACCGAATTTATATTTCATGCTGTGTTTTCGTGCACGTCAATCGAAATGCGCATTAAAAAACACGAAAGGATATTTTTGTTGTGGTATTACGCGAGTTCTGAGCGTCGAAATTGGAAAATTGAAATGGAAATTGTAATGGGAATCAACGTGCGCATGGTGAGGTGGCAAAGTGGCAATGGAAATGAAAATAAAATTTCACTACGGTCAACAAATATTGTACTAAAAATAAAAGTAAATTACTCAAGTGGCCCGATGGATAACTCATTGTTGTATGTGTCCGTATGGAGTACTGTTAATACATATTTTAAATAGAGTCAATCGATATTTTCTTTACCGAATTATTTGACTGTCATTTGAAATATAATGTATGTACAAGAGGAGAACAGCCATATAAATGCTCTTTAAAATCATAAAATAAGCAATTCTGCACTTTCAAGAACTCCTTTTTATACTCTCGCAACAAAGTTGCTAAAGAGAGTATTATAGTTTTGTTCACATAACGGTTGTTTGTAAGTTCTAAAACTAAAAGAGTCAGATATAGGATTATGCATACCAAAGTGATCAGGGTGACGAGTAGAGTTGAAATCCGGGTGTCTGTCTGTCCGTTCGTCCATCTGTCCGTCCGTCCGTGCAAGCTGTAACTTGAGTAAAAATTGAGATATCATGATGAAACTTGGTACACGTATTTCCTGGCTCCATAAGAAGGTTCGAAGATGAGCAAAATCGGCCCACTGCCACGCCCACAAAATGGCGGAAACCGAAAACTTATAAAGTGTCATAACTAAGCCATAAATAAAGATATTAAAATGAAATTTGGCACAGAGGATCGCATTAGGGAGGGGCATATTTGGAAGTAATTTTTTTGGAAAATGGGCGTGGCCCCGCCCCCTACTAACTTTTTTTTACATATCTCGAAAACTACTATAGCTATGTTAACCAAACTTTATAGGATCATTTATTTTACCACGCCCACCTCCCATACAAAAGTTATGTTGAAAACCACTAAAAGTGCGTTAACCGACTAACAAAAAACGTCAGAAACACTAAATTTTACGGAAGATATGTCAGAAGGAAGCTACATCCAGGCTTTTTTTTTTAAATATAAAATGGGCGTGGCGTCGCCCACTTATGGACCAAAAACCATATCTCAGGAAGTACTCCACCGATTTCAATGAAATTCGGTATGTGATATTTCCTTAACACTCTGATGACATGTACCGTATATAGGTGAAATCGGTTCACAACCACGCCTGAAATCTCGATTATCACTTTATCATGCGAGAGTATAAAATGTTCGGTGACACCCGAACTTAGGCCTCCTTACTTGTTTCTCCATTGTTTTATGTTGAAAATCGTTCTATTCTTCCTTATTAAAACGGTAACCATTTTACGAGATTTCTCCTCTATGATAAATTCGAAAACTTAGCACCTTATTTATATCTAACAACTTTTTTTCAGGTCTGGATCCAAATTGGCGACACATAATTCCACCCGGTCAAAGAGAAGTAATCTCTGAAGGACAGTGTATTGAAGATTGTACAGCTTACGCATTTCCTGCGCAGGGCATAAGCATTTTCGCGGTTATGATGCGTACTCACCAAATCGGCAAAAAAGTTAAACTCCGACAGGTATGGTTGAGGTTTTGCATTAATCATTTGTTAAAAAATTCAAATTGTAACTTCTATACTCTCGCAACATATTGAACAAAGTATAAAAGTTTTGTTCTCTTAACGGTTATTTGTAAGACTTGAACGGTTATTTGGAAGAAGTCGAATTATATACATATATACAATATAAATGTTAACCGAAAAACTATGGTGTAGATGAGAGTAGGTCAGAAATTTAGATGCAATACTAATCGGTACAGTAGATTGGGGTGTGCCCCCGCTTCTTATAGGTTCTATGTATATAAATACATATCGTCACCTGAAATGCATAACGAATCATCAAAAAATTTGAAATTGAGTGTCTTACTGATTACACTTCATTACTTCAAATTACATACATAATATTACATATAGTATGTTCAACATTTTCAGGTTCTGCGCTCAGATACAAACCATTTTTAACCAATATTAAATTTCTTTTCACTCAGTTTCCATTTTATTTCGTGTTTCATTCATGCCACTGTAAATTTCCGAAAATGTTGTTAGGTTGTTTTTGCATTTTAGATGACAATATGCTCCTCACAAAATTCTTAAGCTAGGTATATCTACTAAAGGTAATGTACCAAGATTACATTGTGACAAAAAGGCACGCGGAAATTGTAATTAAATTCCCCTGGTAAATGATATTTCAAAAATTTGGATAGTCGGTAGGACTGTTAATACTATTCCAATTATGAGCGCGATTTGTCAAACAGTTTGTTTACAGCAGCTGCTCAAGTCGGTACACCTCAGTGCTGGGTTGCGATTTTTGCAACATATAAAATTATCGAACACAGAATTTGTCTCAAATTTTGTATTTTTAACCAAATTTCGCGAGCGGAATCTTAGTGAATCTTGGAAAAGGCTTACGCTGTTTCAGTTTTATCAAAAAACACAAGCTACGAGTGGTATAAAGCCATCAAAGACGGTCGAGAGAGCGTTGAAGACAATTCTCGTTTTAGACGACGAAAATGTTGAAAATGTTAAAAAAGTGAAGTGAATATCATCGACCAACTACCGTATTCACCAGATTTGGCGTCGAGTGATTTTTTCTTATTCCCCAAACTGAAATTGCCGCTCCTTAAAACCCGTTTTCAGTCGATCGAAGAGGTAAAACAAAATCGCTGAAGGGGTTAAAGACCATTCCAAAAAGTGCTTATGAAAAGTGTTCCAGAAAATAATATTCCTAGTTAGTCAGACCATTCTATTTATATCCATTTTATGTTTCCAATTTTCTCCTTTTTTATCAAAAAGGCATCTAATATATTTAAGTTTTAAGCACCTATAACTGCCCGCTACTGGCAAAATTTTCATTCTTTTAATAAATTGGTCCATAATTTCAGTTATAGTGGCTTTTTAAAGATGCCATTGAAAGTTATTTATGCTCTTCGACGAAAACACTACTGCAAATTTTTTTGTTTTCTCTTGCTAAGTTAATTCCTTGAGATTATCAGTAAAAAACTAGAAGCTTTCTTGAACCAACTCTTTGGCGTTTTCCACATTTATCTCAACAAACCGGTTTGTTTTATGTCAGTGTCAATTCCATTATTATATTTCATACATGTATAAAGAGTTTCCAATGTCATCGTTTTCACTTAAACGTGGCTAAGTGTTCTTAAATAACCCTTTCAAAGATCGTTTTGATATCTCATTCCAAAAGAGGTTTATGTTTTCCATAGCACTTATGATACTGTAGTTTTTTCAAACTTCTTACTGATTGTATTCCCCATCAATTTTTTCAAAAACGTCTGCTGTGATGTTCACCTCAAGTAATATGCCTTAAAATTGGAAATAACGCAGGTTTGATTAATGTATGTAAGTGTGTATTTCAAGGAATACGGTGTGAAATAAAACAGAATTAAGGGAAGTAGTTGCAACTAGTTTTATCGCACATCCACACTAGATGAATGGAAGAATAATTGTGACTGCACTTGCTTCGGCACGCTGATAAGAGCAGGAAGAACTTATTCCTTTGCAGCTGTTGCTAGCTGCTTGCTCTCAACCATTTCCAGCCACCCGAGTACAATTCGTTAATTAGCGAATAACTCGAAAAGTTTCTGTAATTTAACCTGTAAATTAACCTGAGAAAGGTATAATTAAACCGACAAATTTCGATTGCGAAATCCAATTTTACTAATCGCAACATATTCTGGCTTAATTTTACTGAGATATTTAAAATTCCGACCCATCGTCGTATTTCCACTTCAAATCTAGGAGTAACAAACCACTTTTTATATAGAATGAATGAATTGTACACGAGTACGCTTATTCTTTTCCAGCTGTTAATATGAACTTTAATTTTTATACTTTGAAATAATTAAGCTATAATTTACCAGCAATGTATTTCCTCTGGTTTAGACTAATGGGAGGTATAATAATTGCAGATTCGTCAGACTGAAGAACTTTTTCCAATCGTAATGGACACCAACATCGACCCAGCGTATCAAGAATTTCGCCATCTGCCTGCTCCCGTGCGGTCTCTGCCTGGTGATCGACTTATTGCTGAGTGTATTTACGACAGCTCCACACGAAAAGCAATTACCCTTGGTAAGTAGCCATTACAGAAGAATCGTATTGCAGGTGTGTGTGTGTCGGCTTTGTGAATAGTTAAGCCAAACAACAAGAGTAAAATTGCAAAATGCCGGTAAAGAAAGGCGCTCCATATTGCGCTTTCAAACTAATCGCTTTGAGAAAGTTACCTATGGCTGCACACAGCAATAAACTGTCTACAACACTTCCATAGGCACGCAACCCTTTCCATATTGCTTTGTTCAAGAACTCCGAAAGCACCGCTTTCATTGACGTGTTTTCCGTTTCATCCTTTTATACCACACATACAAATGGTATGAGCACAATATTGAATTTATATAAGTTAACACAACATTTTATGAACTTCTACATAAATTCCATTCCCACATTATATGCTAGAAACATACAAACCGTTTGCATACTTTGGAGTCCTA